GAGCTGCCTGGAGCTGGAGTAAGGGTGACATGAGCACCCCCGTGGCCACCACCACTAGGACTGTGCTGGGTCAGACCTGAAGCCAGCACAGTGCCAAGTTCCCCTGGGCCCAGAAAGGTCCACAGATGCTGTCCGGGAGCCAGAGCCTAGAGTTGGAAACCCTAGAAATCTACCTGGTGTGCTCTATTATTTTGTTGCTAAGCTGACACCAAAACCTCAAGACAAAGTCCTTCCCACTCTTCTTTCCCTTTTCCCCAGGCAGAGAAGTCTCTCCCCACATCACCACCACCACAGACCTATGGGGATTACTGCAGGGCACCAGCGTTGTTCACTTAAGGCGCTAGGGCTCTTCAGTCCGCTTGTGGTGAATGCTGCCAGGCATGGGACTCACCCTTCAGGGCAGTGGGATCCCCTCTGGCTCAGAGTAGGTCCAGAAATGCTAAGAGCCAAGGCCTGGACTTGGGGACCCCAAGAGCCTGGTTGGTGCTCTTCCCCACTATGGCTGGGCTAGTACCTAAACTACAAGACAAAGTCCCATTTATTCTTCCCTCTTCTTTTCTCAAGTAGAAGGCATCTCTCCTCATAGCCACCGCAACTATGAATATGATGGGTCACTCTGGAGGCCAGCGTGTCCCTGAGTCTCACCCAAGACCCACGGTGTGCACTACTTGGTTACTGCTGCTGATTATTCAGGGCCCAAGGGCTCTGTTGTCAGCAGGTGATGAATCCTGCCAGGACTGAGTCCTTTCCTTCAAGGCGGCAGGTTCCTTTCTGGTCCAGTGTGTTATTTGGAGCTAGAGCCTGAAATGGGGGCCTCATGACTCTGCCCGGTGCCCTGTCTTACTGTGGCTGAGCTGGTATCCAAGTTGCAAAACAAAGTCCTCTTTACTTTAACCTCTTCTCTCCTCAAGCGGAAGGAAGTTGTCTCTTTTGGAGCTGCGAGCTGTGCTGCCTGGGGTTTAGGGAGGGATGACAAAAGCACTCCTTTAGCTGCCCCAGCTGGTGTCTTACTAGTCACGTGTCCCCCAAGTCCACTATCTCTGAGCCCAGCACAGCACTAGGATTTGCCTAGGAGTTGCAGTCCTTGTGGCCTAGACTGCTTTTCAAGTTTATTTTGAACCCCACATCACTTGGGCCTATGGTCGCGAAACTTGCCGGAACTCAGGTTCTGACCACTGAGATGGGCGAGTCCCCTCTGGCTGGGGCTTGTCTATATGCTCCCTCCATGGGTGTCAACTGATTTCTGTCCCTTGTTGGCAGCACTGTGGTCCAATGCAAAATTCCCTAATTGCTGTGCTGCCCTTCCCTCAAGTGCACAGATTCTCTCTCCACACCACAAGGGCACTGCCGGGGAATAGGGAGAGATGAAGTCAACAATTCAAGACTGACTTTTCTACCTTCTTTAGTGCCTCTTTCAGTAATATGAAGTTAAAACCAGGTACTGTGAGTGCTCACCTTAGTTTTGGTTCCTATGAAGGTGCTGTTTTGGGTGGCTAGTTGCCAGATTTGGTGTTCCTGTGGGGAAGACAATCAGCAGAGGCCTCTGTTCCACCATCTTGCTCCACCTCCTCCAGAAGCCTAGCATTCTAAGTCGTATCTACCCATTCACCAGTTATGGGCTGAATTGTATATCCCCAAATTCCTTATGATGAAGCCCTCTGGTACCTAATAATGTGACTGCATTTGGAGATAGTATCATTAAAGATAGTATCCATCCATCCATCCGTCCATCCATCTAAACATCTATCCCTTCATCTATCATATATTGAGTGCATATACAATATATCTAGCCAACAATCTAGGCAAGGTGCCTCATATTGGGACAAAAAAGGAACAGATCGGTCTCTGCCCTGAAAGTTCTAGTGTGGATGATAGTAAGTAAGCAGCAGTAAACACAATTACAATACATTGTGATAAATGCCATGACACATCTGGGGGCTGGGGATGTACCAGGATGGGACACCTTATCCAGGTTGGGGATGAAGGCAGGAAAAGGGTCAAGGAAGGTGAGTTCCAAAGAGAATATGGCAAATTAGGGCAACTGCAGGAAGGGTCAGTCTGGCTAAATGTATAGCTAAAGGGGTAACTTAAAATTAGGTCTTTAGGGTGAACCCTAATCCAATTTGACTGATATTCTTATGAGAAGGGGAAATTTGGACATACAGAGAGACAGCAGGGATGCATCTGCAGAGGTGAAAGACCATGTGAGGACACAGTGAGAAGGTGGAAGCCAAGGAGAGAGGCCTTAGAAGCAACCACACCTGCTGACAGATATCTTGATTTTTCACTTCTAGACTCTAGAACTGTGAGAAAATAAATTTCTGTTGTGCAAGCCACCCAGCCTGTGGTATTTTGTTACGGGAGTGCTGGCAAACTAATATATAATCCATCCATCCATCCATCCATCCACCCACCCACCCACATCCATCCATCTATCCATCCATCCACATACACCCATCCATCCATCCACATCCATCCATCCACCCATCCATCCATCCATCCACCCATCATATGTTGAGTGCCTATGCAACATATCTAGGCAACAATCTAGGCAAAGTGTTGGGATAAAAAAGAAACAGATCAGTCTTTGCTCTGCAAGTTCCAATGTGGATGACAGTAGGTAAACAGGCAATTGCAATACATTGTGATAAGTATCATGACCCATCTGGGAGTTGGAGATGTACCAGGAAGGGACACCTTATTCAGGCTGGGGGTGAAAGCAGGGAAAGGGTCAAGGAAGCAGAGTTCCTAAGAGAATATGACAAATTAGGGCAATTGCAGGAAAGCTTAGTCTGGCTAAATGTATAGTAGGAAGGGACTCGGGGGGGAATGAGGCTAGAGAGAGAAGGTTTGAGAAAGGGATTTTTTTTCAATGTCATGTTAAGGCAGTGTTCCTCGTAATTTTTTTTTCTGCCTATAGCATACCTAAGGGATGACTCATGTCCATCAACAGCATGGTGAGAGGGAACAGTTGCAGAGGTGAAATACCAGTGTCAGGTTGAGATATGGCCCTGCCTTCCCCTTCACAGTTTGAGATTCATGATGCTTAGTAAGAATCTGGATTTTATCTGAAGGCTGAATGATATTGGCTTTGTCACTTTATCACACTAGGCCTTCTGTTCTTATCTCTTACCTGTTCATATGCTAGTTGAGAGTGTGGGCTTTAGCATTAACTGCCTGGATTCTACTCTGTCCCCTACCATTCTCAAGCTGGGTCACCTTGGATAAGCTGTCCACCCTCATCAGCAAACTGGATCAATACTACTGTGGTGCCTACATCAAAGATTCGCTGAGGATGAAAGGAGGCAATGCGTGTAAAGCTCCTGGCATAGTGTTTGGCATACAGTAATGCTCACTAAATGTTAAAGATCACAAGGGCCTGTGTGATTGCATCTCCCCTGCAGCTGAACAGTGTTAGTGATCAAATTCTCACTGTCATTATAGTGATCATTGTCTTTGTCATCGTCCTTGCCATCCCATCATCATCCTCATATTGCCATCGTCATCAGCATACCCATCCCCACTATCACCATTGTCATCATCACCATCACCATTTCCATCATAATCACCACCATCATTGTCCTCCTTCTCATCATATCAAAGCTGTCAGAGGTCATTCCTCACTGGGTTCCTTGCTTCCAGTCTTCTTCCTTGTGGTTGTCTTATGAAAAAGAAGGCCCTACCTAAATTTTTATGATGTGATATTCCTAACATTTATTGGGCTCCTACTATACATCAGACATTTTTCTGGGCACAAAGGATACAGGGGTGAGCTAAATAAAATTCTCACTTGTGGAATTAGGTTAATGAGAACAGACAGACATAGACATATTGTCTGTCTCTTCTCATTAACCTAATTCCACAAGTGAGAATTTACAATACTACAAGGATTGACATTTATTTTCCTTTGACATACTACATGTGTCCTTGTAGAATCTGACATACTACAAGGAACTATGTAGTATGTCAAAGTAAAATTAATACTGGAGAGAAAAATAAAGCAGGGAAAGAAGTTTCTGGGGTTGGGCAGTTGCCATTTTTATTTGGGATGGTTAAAGAAGGCTGATCTAGAGGTGACATTTGAATTGAGGAAGGGAAGGAGGCCCCACGTAGATACCTGGGGGGGGGGGTGCAAAGGCCAGGAACAAAATTATAAAGGCCCCCAGGCAGCAACATGCCTGGCATGTGAGGAGCAAAGAGGAGGCTAGTGTGGCTGGATGAAAGCTAGGAGTAACAGTGGATGAGATCAGAGAAGCAGCAGGGGCCAGAACATGGGGACCAGGTCATTGTAAAAACTCTGGCCTTTACTCTCATTGACTTGGAAAGTCATCAGAGGATTTTGGAAAGAGGTGTAACACGATCTGACATATTCTAATGGAGTCACTCTGGCTTTTGTGCTGAAAACACAAGACAGGGCGACAAGTACTTAAGCAGAGAGGCCAGTCTAGCTTATTTCAGTAACCCAAGTGTGAGCTGCTGGTGGCTGGAATCAATGGAATAGCTGTGGAGGTCATGAGAAGCGGGAGATGCTAGATATATTTTGAAGATAAAGCCAGCAGGATTTTCTAATATACTGCATTGAATATGGAACAGGAGTGAGAGAAAGAGACAAGTCAAGCACGATTCCTGAGCAGCTGAACAGATGGAACTGGCATGTGCTGGGATGTGGAAGACTGTGAGCAGATGTGGAGGAGAAAATCAATTTTATGCTCATATTGTGCCTGTAAAGTAGGTACTATTGTTATCTTCCGTAACAACTGGGACTCACTAAAGTGTTTTGCTCAAGGTCACGTAAGTGGCAAGAGCCAAGATTTGAACCAGCTCTCTCTGATTCTACAGACTATAATCCTATAGCGAAGCCAAGTTTACAGAAGCCCTGGTCTTGACTTCCTTAGATCCGGGTTCCAACCAACCTCTTAGCCTCAAGGCCTTTACCACTGACCATCAAGGGTTACACTGATGGCTCCTACACAAACTAAAAAGGTCCCTCTTCTCCACAGGAGGGAAACTTATGCACATGAAGGCTTCCCTTCCTCCAGAGGGAACACTGGAGGCCACTCACCTTCCAGACCACCGAATTTAACATCACTCATGCCAGCTGGAGGAGGCCCCAGATCCCTTTGGCCAGTAAAGTTTTGGTTGGTGAGTGAAATTCTAACTCATTAACTTGAAAACGAATGACCTTCAGTGACTGTTAAGGCAGCTCGGACTGAGCTGTCTGATTTCCATTCCAACTCTGGGCGAGAAAATTTCTCCATCCTTAGCCACCCAGTGACCATTATTTACCCATTTCAGCCCTGGCTGGGCCTGCTAGGATTGTAAGCAGCTAAATGGTGCCTAATAGCAGGGGCTCTGGAGTCAGTCCACCTGGGTTCAAATCCTGGTTCTACCACTTATTAGCTGCGGGAACTAGGACAGGTATCTTAACTGTTCTATGCTTCCCTTCTGTTTTATCATTGGTAAAATGGGGAGAAGAGTAAGTCCTTCACAGGGTTGTTGTGAAGTTTAAAAGATGTAATAGGTGCACCACGATGTCAGAAATCACCACTAAAGAACTTATTCATAACCAAACACCACCTGTTACCCAAAAACCTATGGAAATAAAAAATAAATTTAAAAATATATGCAGAGTGCTTAGTACAATGACCACACATAAGCAAGACCCAACAAAAGTTTGCTATTAATTTTATTATTATTTTATTAGGCATTTATTTTGTGCCAGGAGCAGTCGCTCACGCCTGTAATGCCAGCACTTTGGAAGGCTGATGCAGAAGGATCATATGAGGCCAGGAGTTCAAGACCAGCCTGGCTAACATGGTGTAACCCCATCTCTATTAAAAATACAAAAAATTTAGCCGGGTGTGGTGGCACAGGCCTGTAATCTCAGCTACTCAAGAGGGTGAGGCAGGAGAATCACTTGAACCCAGGGGGCGGAGGTTGCAGTGAGCTGAGATTATGCACCACTGCACTCCAGCCTGGACGACAGAGCAAGACCCTGTCTCCTAAAAAAAAAAAAAAAACCCCAAAAAGACTTTATTTTGTGCTCACTGTAGTTGTCATCATTCTTGTCGAGACTTCACTGCTTTGTATACAGCACCAAAATGTGCCCCACAGAAAATACAAGTAAGCAATTGTTTAGCACCCTGTAGTTTACAAAATATTTTCATGGGCATTATCAACTGATACCACCTGAGGACATGGATGTGTTAGCTGGAATTTAAAGGAGGGTGTAAGGTCAGTTCATATCATTCAGTCAATTTAATGAAGTGGCATCAAAATGTAAAACCATTTTATGTTCGCAAGTAATATGAACAGTAGGCCTTCCTTATCCTGTCCCCCACGCCATCTCTGGGTCTTACCCCTCCCTCAAGTTCACATTAGAAGGGCAGGGATGCTACTGAGTACTTATCTTAGGACTGTAAAAACAAGTAGAAAGGTGTTTATGTATTGATTGACTGATTGTGACAGAGTGAGACCATCCCCACTATCACCATTGTCATCATCACCATCACCATTTCCATCATAATCACCACCATTATTCTCCTCATCATCATATCGAATGTAGGCTGGAGTGTAGTAGCATGATCTTGGCTCACTGCAACCTCTGCCTCCCAGATTCAAGCGATTCTCCTACCTCAGCCTCCTGAGTAGTTGGAATTACAGGTGTGTGCCACCACACCCAGCTAATCTTTTGTATTTTTAGTAGAGGCAGGGTTTCTCCATGTTGGCCAGGCTGATCTCGAACTCCTGACCTCAGGTGATCCACCTCTCTCAGCCTCTCGAAGTGCTGGAATTACAGGTGTGAGCCACTGTGCTCGGCCTATTTTTAAAGTAGCATCAAAATGTACCCACACGAAAATGTCACATACTCATTCCTCAACCAAGAGGTGCCCCAGCTGGGCCCTTCCTCTTCTGCATGGAGGTACAACACCTGGAATTAGGGAGCTCCTGAGGATGTGCACCCCTGAGGCTGGGAAAAGTGGTCCTAGCTCTCCAGAGCCAAACTATAAAGAACGGCCCCTATCCCTAACACGTACTCAGTTTGCAGGGCATCCAGGCTCATGCCTTGGCCACTGGGGGCCTTGCCAACCTGGAACAGAGAAGAGGCAATCAACATTAATGGGGGCTTTCTATTTAGGCATTCTAACCAACATGCAGAAAGCCAAGAGGGCTGCAGGCTTACAAAGCTCGACCTTATAATTTATGGTGCATGTGGTACGAGGGAGTTCCGAGGCATTTTTACACAAGCTGGATGAAAGGAAGAGATGTCTCCAGCTCTCCCTCTTCTCCGCCCACATTCCTGACCGTCCAGCACAGTTTAGCAAGGAAAAGGGATAGAGGAGACAAAACCGGGAGGAAAAGCAGAAAAGAAACTCTCCTAGATGCATGCTGTGATCAGAAACTGGGGTAGAATGGAAGTCTCCAGGAAGAGCTGTTGATCCCTTCCTGCCCTGGAATATGTGCTTCCATGACTGCCCACCAGCCTCCTCCTCTGGGTGTAACTGAACACCATGGTGGAGCCACACTTCAGAGAAACACACTGCTTGCTTTTAACGTTAAACACATCCTAGCCTGTGGTTTGTAAGCCACATAGGGTCCTGGGAGCCCCAAGAAATAATGATGAAAGAAAATCGTTGGAATCCGGACACAGAGGTTCTGTGAAGCTATACTTTCCCTCAGTGACTCTGCAAATTGTATTAGCTGTCCAATATTCACTGAGCATTGCCACATGCCCAGTATCATATGGTGTCTCTCGTCTAATCGTCATAACAGCAAGGTTTTTTTTTTTTTTTGAGACAGGGTCTTTCTATCACCTATGCTGGAGTGCAATGGTAAACAGGGCTCATTGCAACCTTGACTTTCCAGGCCCAAGTGATCCTCTCACCTCAGCTCCCCAAGTAGCTGGGACTACAGTCACGCTCCACCATGCCTGATTTGTTTTTGCATTTTTTGTAGGGACAGGGTTTTGCCATGTTGCCCAGGCTGGTTTTGAACTCCTGGGCTCAAGTAATCCACCTGCCTTGGCCTCCCCAACTCCTGGGATTTGGGCAGAACTACCTCACTGAGCCACCAACCCTGGCCCAGTGAGGTAGCAATTACTCCTGTCTTATAGCTGAAGATACTGAGGTTCAGAGAGATCACACTCCAAAGTCAGTCATGGAGCTGAATTTGACCCAAGTCAGTCTATTCTACAGCCTATGTCTTAACCATTATATGTACTATCTCCCAGAGGAAAAGAATGAGAGGGAAATGCTGAAAATATTAACAGTTCCCTCGTCCTACTCTACATTCATTCAGTGCTCAGTAGAGGAAAAAATTGAGAAACTGTCCATTCTCACATCTGACCTACAGTCTGGGTGTTTTTTTTTTCTTCCTGAGACAGGGTCTTGCTCTGTTGCCCAGGCTGGAGTACAGTGGTGTCATCATAGCTGACTATAACCTTGAACTCCTGGGCTCAAGCGATCCTCCTGTCTCAGCCTCCTGAGTGCCACCACATCCAGCTAATTTTTATTTTTATTTTTGGTGGAGTTGTGGTCTTACTGTTATCCAGGCTGGTCTTGAACTCCTGGCCTCAAGTGATCTTCCTGGCTTGGCCTCACACAGTGTTGGGATTATAGGTGTGAGGCACTGTACTTGGCCTGGATCAATTTTTAAGAATTTAAATATCACTCAATTATTTTTGATAAGTATCAGATGACTATTTCTCTAAGAGACAGATTAATAATAAGAAAGGTCCTTAAAGATGCACTTACAGAAAGGGTGACCCTGAAACCTAGAGAGGAGTTTAGGGATACTTCTCAAGGTCACACACTTTGGTAGTAGCACTAAAGGAGTAAGGAGTAGGGCTCTTGCTTCCAAGGCCAGATCTTGGCAGCAAGCCACTTTACCAGTTATCACTGCCTCTGCCCCTAACATGGAGAACTGCTTGAAGGGATATAACCTCTTTTCGTGCACTAGAGATTTTAACAACACAACCCAAACTTAGCTGAATAGTTTTTAAACAAGGTTCTTGGGATGAGTGAGTCTTCTGATTTCCTCTGCTGTCTCCCCGCCCCACAGGTCAGAGACCTATGCCCTGTTGAACCAGGAGGCTCCTACAATAGCTCCTGGTATTTAGCTGAAGTAGGTATGTTCCTCTCTGACTGGGGGAGATGGTTACATTTCTAGTCCAGAACCTGCTATAATTTACTCTTGTCCTCCCACACTAATAGCGATTCTTCTATCTGCCAGCTTGGCTTCTACAGCCTTCTGCAATCTGGACCTGCTCCACCCATGTAGAACACACCCTCATGTCCAACAGGTGTCCTGGGCTCACCCCATTTCCGCCACAGAAATATCCTCCCTGCTCTCCTCATATGCAAATCATTCTTCAAGGCATTGCTCAAGGTCTTTCTGCCCCCAAAGCCTGCCCATGTACAGCCCAATGGTTTGCTTTCCAAATCTCTTTACATTTATATTCCCAATTAACCAAAGTTAGCCCTTAACAGGTTTTTGTATATTTCTCCAAGTGTAATGCAGGCTCCTTGAGGGCAGGCACACAAATGTTCATTCATTCACTAGAGGCTTTTAGCAGCACCTTATAAAGCGAGAAAGAAGGAGAAATACAAACTATGGTTGCTTCCAGTCCTCAAGGAGGGGAGACATACCTGGCACTTAGTGGGCCTTGAACAAAGGTTTGCTATATTGAACCAACATATATGCCTCTCGTTGCAATTACTTGCTAAGTCCCATGAGAGGTATCAAGTGGTGTTATAGGGAAAGTACCATCAAAGAGGTGGCATTTGAACCCTATAGGCTTTAAGGGCAGGGCATGGTTTTGTCTTTGTTAACAGAACCGGGAGGAGGTTACAGACAGAAGAAACAGCATTCCTACCACACACAGTGCCAGGTGCACACAGTGCCAGGCACACACCACTCACCAGGAATTGGGGAAAGCAGTGGAATTGAGTGAGTTCTGTCCCTGCCCCAGCACCGACTAGACTTAGTGAGTGGGCAAGTTGCTTAACTTCCCTGGGCCCCCATTTCCTTCCCATTGTGAAGTGATTCAGCTGCATAGGCTTCAGAAAGAAGCGGACTGAGTGAGGTTCGAATGATGACTATATGTGACCTTGGGCCAATCCGAAGCCGGCTCGCTCAGTCTC